AATGAATGGAAGTCAATGGAAAGTCCCCACAAGGTGTGTGTGTGTGTGTGTGTGTGTGTGTGTGTGTGTGTGTGTGTGTGTGTGTTTGGAGGGGGGCAGTCAGGCTCAGGATATTTTTCTGCTATCCTCCCTGCATTTATGATTTAATATTCTTAAGCACGCATGTGAAATGAAGATGGGCAGATTTGGACCWTTTTTTTTWAAATAACTTTTAGTTAAACTCTGTGTACAGTAAGATTCTGGTGTTCACTTAGAAACAGAATGAAGACACCTGTTACAAAATTAAGAAAGGTTCAAGACACCAGCAGCATCTCTGTAACTATAATGATTTGTCACAACATGTTAAAAATATCAAGTGACAAGACTAGACTTGGACATTCAAGACTGTGGCCTTGAATGTTTTCTGTCATAAGGAGAGCTTCTTTGAAGATGTCAAAATACAGTGACATACCAACTAGAGCTATTTTGGCATATTTCAGAGTAGTAGTATGTTTAAAAGTCTTTCAAAATTCACAGACATACTCCAGTGTTTAAGAGAAAATTATGTGTAGGAAAGTGTGTTAAGGTGTACACATTGACACATTTTTATTAATGAGAAAACTATTAATAGTTATGGCACACTAAAGTCTTTCATTCCACTCATTGTTTCCTCATCTGCTTGTTTGTGTCGCTCAACATGTCTATCTCTTTCTATATTTTCTTATCGTGAGATTTTTGTTGCTTTCCTTTTTATAGATTTTTTTTATCTTGACTAGCAGGGCAGCAAGAAGAAGCAAAGGTTAAAGAGATTTCTGCTTTGTAGCTCATTTTGGTCAGAGGCGCTCCGAGAGAGGTGCACCTGTTCAGAAACCTGATGAGGCTTTAAACGGCTCAGTTATGATCACGCTCATGAACTCCAAGCATTTACTGAGTCATACAGGCTGTCGGGACGCTCTTTTAGCCTGTATTAAGAGTGAGATGAAATGTTGTCGGTACAGAGTTGTGTGTTGACTAGACTTGTTAAAGCATATGCATTTGAGCCCAATTCTCTATGCAGATGAGGCACAGGTCTAAGCTGGAAGGTATGGGGTTATAAGGTTTACAGAATGGTCTTCACGCATGGTTTAAAAACCATGAACGCACTCTGTTTGTGTGTCTGCTTTTTGATGCATAGCGAAGAGTGGAGATTAAAGCCATGAATCACAGAGATGGAATGAACTTGTCAGAGGAGAAAGTGARCGGGGGAGAGAAAAAACGGGGTGGGTGTCGCTGGAGATGGCCAAAGACGGAGTGCATTTCGGTGTTTTGTGTCTGCTGCATGTGCTACACTGACTTTACGCTGCGCATCAAAAGAGGCTAATTTGTGAAATGACATTTTGTCTCAGAATCTTGAAAGCATTAGCATTTTTAAGTCGTTAGGTTGTTTTCACCCCAAAATCTTTTATTTATGCAGTTCAAATTTCATCAAACAGCAACTGTCACCTCTCATTAGTATTCTGTGGTGAATCTGAGTGATCATCATGGTGGCATTGATGCATAACTTCGGCTACTCCCTACTTCTCTTGACACATTTGCAGTCTTTAAAAAGCACATGAAAAATGCAAAAGCCCACAGTGCTGCCTACCATTTAGACTAAACACATGTCCTTCACATCTGTTGAGAGGATTTTATTTAGATTTAAAATATTTAACAGGGCAATTTTGTGTTTCTCAGGCATATGCTT